TGAAACGGAGCAAAAACGAGCATATGTCTATAGGACTTTTTTTCTTAGTTTTTTACTCCTCTACACGCTCCCGAAGTTTTGCGATTTAATTTGGAAACAGACTGTATTATAATTATAATAATATTATATATAAAATATAAGTTTATTAACATATTGACATATGTTTATTGACATGTAAGAATATAGAAAGAACTATTTTCCAAACATGAACTTAATACTTTTCACGATGTTTAGCAATAGTGAATAATATAGAATCCATGATCTCTAGAATAACAAAAATACTAAAAAAACCATTACAGTCGATGTATACACTCAGTATACTTAGGTTGGCCATATAGTATCTTACAAAGAATTTCCTCTCCTTGATTACGAACAACAATAATAATTTATATATAACATTCATATATTATCAATATAAAATTTATAATTTTAAACTATAATTAAAAAAAATAAATTCCTTGCCGTTCGGAATTACTCGTTGTCACGCGGGGCAATACCCAATTGAAATTTTTGTTTAAAATTATAGTTTATAGTGATAATATGTGAATATAGTTTAAATCTAAATGACTGGAGCGTTTTTAGACTTTTATTAATTAGTAAATAATCGCCAGCTTTATTTAACTTTTCCTGTAAATGTAACAATTTCCCTACTCTCCCCTATTACTGCTGTAATAATAATTATATTATAATTCTACAAAAAAATATACAATTGGCAACACGAAAATGACTATAAATTATAGTAATATTTTAGTGACTATTTTTTCCCTCAGTGTAATAATTCATGTCGCGAGCGAATCAACACGTCGGCACAGTTTTTCTAAAAAAATATTCGTACTCCGCTACAAAGGTCTTTCTGATTACTATTCTCCTTGTTCGATCTTCGACGAGTAAGGTTCGCAGATCAGGAACAAAGGGTGTGCTAGGAGAAACACCTAATCGCAAATACACGGACCTCCCTGTTTCCCTTTCGGCTAGAGAGCCGCGGGAGCATGACGGAAATGTCAGGAGAAAGGGATACGAAAAATCGTGCGTATAGCGTATAATTTTCATCCGCTATGTATGCTTTGTACATGTATAATATATATGCGCGAGTACATGAAGAATCGTTATGTTCGCTCTTTCTAAAGGAACTTTAATCAAAACTGGAAAATAGAAGAAACCTACTTTTCATCCCGCCGTCTTTTTACCGTCGCTTCTGCAACCGTCCCGTTCCGTCCATGACGGGCGGACGATAATACGGCGTCTGACCTTCCGTGCAAGATATCTTGAAACGCGTATACAACAATGCCGCATTGTCTAAGCCACTTTATTGTACCCAGCGACGTCCGAATATCATGCCGAGATCTCGACTCGCTCGGGTATATAGGATGATTTGCAACTAACGTGCGTAAAACGGACTTCTTGATTAAGATTAAGATGAAATTAATGAGAAATGAGAGGAACTTTTCATGATTTAAGTTCGAGAACTGCATAATTAAGTAAGTTACAGAATTTGTTCCACGGTGGAATTCAAGTAGATCCCGCTTCAGCAACATTTCAATTCCTAACTTCAGCCATAAAGATGTTTAATGTAGAGCAGTAAATAGTGCAATATACAATATAATGTTAATGGTCTTGCATCAATCTTACAATTAGGTTTCTTAGCAATTTTTCAAAAACAATTCGTTAAATATTGCAGATAACAAATACTGACTTTACATACAGAGACAGTTCGTGATTTATTAACTGTATTCGATGAAGGAAACATTCAATAGTGAAAAAAATGCAAATGAAATAATTTCGTTAATTTGTCTGATTGAATCGTCTGATTGAACAGATGTCTTGATATCATCAAGATTTAATCTTACAATTATATACGAATGTATCTTCTTAGAATGTATATCGTGCATCTGTGTATACACACTGATCGTAAAACAGCTTGAGACAGGAAGTATAAATTTACACATTACTAACATGCAGACATAGCATAAGCCTAATCTATTTGCAATTAAAGCTGAGTTCTCATGCATTAAAATCAATTATTATATCTTTGATATGGTCGCGTTATATTCAGATATAAATATGTATACGATATATCTACATAAAATTAATATTGCCGAGTAAGCAATAATTTTACAGCCCCAAAATAGATAAACTTAATAATAGATAAACTTAATAGTCTGATATAAATTTATTATTTACAGTAACTTTTTTCTATTAAACACTAAGCAGTTGAAGGAGATTTAAACAGAAAATTAAAGTAATAAATAATTGATTTTTGAATTTTCGCTAATTTATCATTCGTCAACAGATTATTATATTAATATTCTTGAGGCTTTCACGGGTGTTACCTATGTGACAATCTTGCGTTTCGCGGGTTTTCTCCGTGTTCAGATCCATTCTTGGAATTCCAAGAATGGATCTGAACACGGAGAAAACCCGCGAAACGCAAGATTGTCAGAGAATTATATTATTTAAATCTTCTTAGTACATGACTATAAAGTTCTCGAAAAGCTCAATGTTGTAAGAAGTTAGTTACGAATAAATAATAGCTAATCTATTGATTTATAACATAACGACAAATCAAGATCTCAGCTTTTTATTTTTTGTAGAGGCAAATTCAGTAGCAATTAAGATGGAAAGACACTTACCAATTCTCTAGTACACCGACGTTCGAGAAGCTTGGAGGAAAACTCGCGGCCGCCATCGATGGTCGCGACTAATGTCCGTTAGCTCCACTTCCTAATCCTCTTCGCAATCCTAACACGTCACTGGCATGAACAAAATAAACTAAATGATTAAAATGACTCGAGAATTTGAAAAAAAGTTGCGAGACGACTTAAAAATCTTCATTTTCAAAAATTTAATATTTTTGGAAAGAATTAATTATAAATTGTCAAAATTAACGAAACATTTTTAACTACCATAAAGAAAATATAATAAAAATCCATTATTCAGAAATATAAATTTCTTAAAATAAAAGAGTGAAAATATATTAAATGTTTTATTTATCACAGATATATTTTAATCTACTATATATAATATATCGTGTGTAACATTTTAATTCATTGTTTAATAAAAAATTACTCTCTCGAGAATATGTATTTAGTACATCTATACTGTGTGTTTAAATATACATGTCATTTCGAAATGCCATTTAAAATAATCCTTAAACGACAAAAGATATAACAAAATATTTTCCTTATTTTTTATATAGAATTCGATAACACAAAATTTTTTTCTCCAATTTTTATAAATTATGTCATCATATATTTTTTTAAATAAAATTATATAAATTTCTTACGTAAATCGGTTTCTCCTGATAATATATATAATATGTATTAAAAGTATGATCAGAATGTGAATACTTTACGAAATATTTCATATTTTATATTAAAATGTGTCAGAATAAAATATGAAATAACTTATAAATTTTTTAATTTCTAAATAACGTTATTTTAATCTTTTATTATAATATCGAGAGAAATCGATAAGCATATTTTTACATTTTCAAAAATTTATTGCGATCGTAACTTCGAAGATAGAGCTTTAAATACCATAGGTCATTGGATTCATATTTTCGGATCCTATCGAGTGTAATGCTATTTCTGTTGGAAATTTCCATTCGAAAAATTTCACTATTTTCTCCCTTAAAATTTTGTAGAAAATAAATATAATTCCATTACGGTAAAATCATCTCAAAGTAATCTCATTAAAGACTTTTTTTATTTTTCGTCACTTTAATTTCTGAGATCAGCGTGAACAAATTAAATTGAATACACTTTGTATACTCTATACATATATTAAATGAATACATAAGTACATATAATGTATACGATTAAAATTATCGAGTGAAGCGGTTAAAAGCGAAGAACGACTTCAAATTTAAATCACTATCAGACACGATTTCGTCGTTGTGAGCCGTGAAATTGCTTTCAGAAAATATGGAGATTCGGCCATCTTCCTTAAAAGTACCAACCGTCTCTTTTACGCCCGCCTTCCTCACGTTCCTGTATACATGCAGGATATCGTATGGATGTGTTTGCGCAGTGAATTATACGCACACGACTAAGTCCCGTACGCATACTTAGAAACTCGCACCTCGTCCGACTACCCCTTTTCTCGCATTTACTATCTTCCCGCTTTTCGGATCCTGGTATCGGTAATGAACGATCTATTGTACCAGTGAATGCTCTTTCAGGCAACAAGAAGGAGAAAGGGATAGAGGAGGATATACAGCTGGCTAAGGGTGAGTGGCAAGAGGGTTGGCGGGCGAGGAGCGAATATAGAGCGGCATAGAAGAGGTATGAAAACGGCACTCGTTAATGGATTCCCATTCTCCCGAACTCTTTTACTCTCTCTTTACTGTCTTTCCCACCCTTTCTTCCATCGTTTTCTCCTCATGTTCCTTGCGCTCTGCTCTCTTTTGCGCGTTGATTTTTAACCATTCATGCAGGCACAGGGAGCTCGCTCGTTACACGTGTAAATCCCGAACTTTAGTACGGTCGTATGCGTCTCATTGTTCGTCACGACGCTGTATTTCCGATTTGCAACAATCGTAAAACAAACAGCCGAACGATTCTTGACGCGTCGTAGATCTCAATGTCGGTAATAACGGAATTATTCGACCGTCTATTTCACCCTCTCTGTATAATAACGAGGGGATCATCCCTGGCGCTCGGAAATCTCGTTGAGGCTTTCCGGGATGATTTCCTGGAGCAAGGGTTAACTCTCGATTAGCAAGATTAGCAGAGATTACTGTACACAACGTACATTTCTCGTGTACGTGTACATTTATCGCGAGACGTCAAATCGCAATAAAAGATACGAATAAATGTAGAAGAAATTATCAATTAAAGATATTTAGGAGTATCTAGAAATCATCAAAGAGATTAGACCGTTTAAATAAATTTTGATTAGTTCACTTGATCCGCCATATTCAAGATGACTTAATCAGTATATCCAGACTTTTTTTTCAACTACGTTGTGAAAATTGTTTATAACAAATGTTTTTCACAATCTTATAATACATAATTTTTAAGTCACGTAATCTTATTCCTCGGAATTTGACTTTCAAAATGAAAAAAAAATCATTCAATTACGTTAACTTTAAGCAAAGCTAAAAGCATACATTAATTTAAAGTAATTAATTGGATTTCACGAATACCAATAAGGAAATTCAAAGCGAATACCGATTAGGGTTAAGATAGAATGAGATAGACTGATTGTGAAATGCATAAGACAGAATGAGATGCGTAAGATGGAATGAGATGCATGGATATCTATCCAATTTTATCTTAAGCGTTTGATCCATCATATTCAGAACATTTCAGGACAGTGTCCAATTTCTTATTTAACGATCTCTAGAAGTACTTAAAATTTTTAAGTAGTACTCGAAAAAATTCAAGTTCAAATTTTCTTCAGTTTAAACCGATAAGAAAAGTTACGCTCACCAAAAGTTCGCGAACTCTTGGTGCGCACCGTACCGAAGAACAAGGAGAACAAATTCTCGCTAATTAGTGAGAATGGCCGAGTGCAGGGAGAAACGTATCGTTGAGGCGAACGATGCGCGTCCTGGCGCGGATTAGAGAATACGACAAAATCCATTGTCGTCTATCGAGCGCTGCTATTGTCTGCCGCCATTATTTGTCTGCTCGTACGGCGGTGATAAGGGGCACGATTCCGTCGGCTCGCGAATGACAGCTAGCGGGAGACAACGTCATTATCTCTGTAAAATGCCTGACGGGAAAGAACGGTTTGCAGCACTGCGCCAAAACGCCGTCGAAATATTTTCAACAGCAGCATTTCGAAGATAATTGGCAACGGGAGCGAAAAACACCAAGTCCGTATTCGTCGCGCTTTTCTCGAAAACGGTTTAAAAATTTATTCCTTGCAAATTATTGTACGAAGATAAAAATATACCAACGTTTTCACGCTTTCGAAATTATGATATCTTCGTTATTTCGCTACCGTGTGAAAATCCAGCGTTCCTCATCAATGATTATTTCTATCCACACTGATTATCCTTTGTTTATCAAACTTGCAGAGGAGCTACTCGCCACTCGCCGAAGTTCTGAGGCGCAAACTTTGCTAACTGACGAAATTGAATAGCGAATGTACACGCGAGAAACGTATCGCCCGCACGGAATAATCAACATAGACAAAATCAAAGTGCTATAATTAATGCAGGTGTTCATGTCGGTGTGTCGTGAATAATGAAAATGCCACCAGCGTCTGTTCGTTTCGAAAAATCGAAGATCATTCAATCGCGTCAGTTTTAACTGTGGTACATCGACGGTCACATTTAATCGCATCGATAGATTAGCGCTGACTTTTACTCGTAATATTCTGACATAAATATTTCGGCTAATAAACAATTCGAAATAATCCGAACATGTTTTCGGTTTACGGCTATTAACGCTTATAATAAAAATATCTATCAAAAATAACACGTTCGCTAATTATGAGTTTTGATTTAATTCTCAGAAATCCTGATAGCCAATAGAGGACGAACAAACCATTCTCGATTTTGAAAAGTTATCAATGTGAAAATAAAATGTAATGATTAATTGATCAGATAGTATTCGCGCATCCATCTGATAGTGTAATAAATGTTTGTAATGCAAATTATAAATTCAGAATATTTCATAAAGATAAATATAATTTTGATTAAATGGACGGGTGAAACTCATAGTGGTGTAAGTCACTTTTTAAAAATATCAAGTTGAGTTTATTGGTGTAGCTTATGAAACAAATATATTAAAAAAATATTTTTTCTCGAAATCATAAAAGTGACTTACGCCCACTATGTGATTTTGATCCCACCAATTAAAAAAAGATATTTTATATAGAAAGGACGGTTTTGTTGAATATACGAATAGGGTAAAAGCAGAGAATGTGGAATAGGCTGCTATGGAATAGTAGCTTATTTTCTAAACGAAGCATGGCAATCTAGCGACAATCGCTGAAAGTTGTTGTAATTGGTACCAAACGTGTCATAACAAGCAATGAGCTCAGTCCGACAAAACATTTCATCACAATAAACATTTATTTATTTTCGTTGCGTCAAGAGATTCGACAGCTTTTTCTAAAAAGTGTGTTCTCACAAACTGAAGGTAAGTTTGTTAATGTTTATATTACATAAACGCTTTTAATAATATTGCACGAACAATATTGCAGATAAATTATGATTTCTAACTTGTTTATTGTTACGGAAAGACTTTGTCATACTCGTATAACGACATGCAGGATAATATGGAATACATCGAGGGTTGAGAATATGGAACAGGTTCCATATTAGCAACTTATTCATGATCAGGTAAGTTAGATGAATAATGCTTATTTTAGATGCTAATATTTATTGTAATTTAATGATTCAAGATTTAATTTTATTTTTTATTGTCCATACGTAATGACGTTCATGTCCAATGATGCTATTATATTTTCTGTGTGTTGTAGAATAAAAATATGAACTATTTTTCTTGATCGGTTTACATAAATAAACAAAAAACACTTCATTTATTGTGTTATTTATTACTATTACCTAAATTTCACCGGTATTCCATATTGCATCCCATTTTTTAGATCCTCCCCCATTTTTACACTTTTTACTTTTTTGTTAATATTGACATTGGTTACTTAAATTTTGGTGATTTTCATTTATTAGATGTAGCTGACATATTCCTCAAGAGTTCTGTGTAAATTTGAAGTCTTCATATGCATTTATATCGGAGCAATGTTAATTTAAAAAACGCTATTCCATATTCCATAC